TAAGATGTTTATTGTTCAACTTTTTGGACATATGTAAGAAGTGCTTTGTGGAATATAAGTACAGCTAGAAAAGGGCCCATGCTTATTATTATTTTAAAAGTTTTCCACTTTAGAAGTTATTTTTGTATTATTTGAAATACCTCTTAAAAGAATTGGTATTTTATTTTGTCTTTGGCTGAACTAGTGTGGGGGGGAGCATTAAACAAAACTGCTACCTTAATACTCCAGTATTGATTAAATATATCATGAATTTAAATACATTTTAAATCTGGAAATTAGCAATTGGCTGCATTTGAGACACTGAGGTTTTACAAAGGCAAGTGCAAAATAGATGACCTTCACTTTTTTAACATTTTAAGAACATCTGAAAAGCATCTCAGCTTTCTTTTTCTAGAAACCACATACCACCCCCCACCCAATCAGAATGTAGTCTGAGAACATCCAAAAACCATGTCCACATGATTGTCTTCTTGACAAGAGAAAATGAGACAAAAGCAAGTTGAATCAAAACAAAATGTTCCTTGGATTACTTGACAGAAGATTGCTTTGTTTTTGATTTCATTGCTATTACGTTACTTTTTGCTGAGCTCAAGGCAATGTTCTTGTTATAGCTACTAAGTTCATTAGTTAGATAAAGATTTACTTTCTTGATACCACACATGCTGATTAAAGGCTTCCAGATCTCTAAAACAGTATGCTTAATTTAGTGCACAAGCTGTCTGTCTGTGCATTAGGGGTAGCTGAATATCAAAAATCTTTCACTAATATCTTGTTTTCTTTATAACCTGAACAGTCATTAAACCACCACCTAATATTTGTATCATCAGGATATTTATTAATCAACCTAGCACATGTCACCAGCCCTTAAAGCTAGTAAGGCTGTGAGTAAAATTAGATAGAATCAAATGGCTGTTCTTCTTTGCTGTTGGTTTGACCTCTAGAACAAGCATGTTGGTTACTCAGGTGTGTATACTGCACGTTATGTCCTGAGTCCTGAAACACATTGCAGCAAATGCATATGTGAACAGTAGCAAGCAGAGTTGGCACCTGGGACAAACCCTGAAGGAGAATGGGAGGGATGAGCAGTTCCAAAAAGAGGGGCTTGGTCCTGAGAGCATGCATGATTCTGAGGCAGAGAAACAGCAGTCTCATCCATACCAGCAGTAGCATAACTAGGAAGAAGGCAAGAGGGGCACCCATCCAGGGCACCAAATTAGGAGGGGTGGCAGAATCTCCCTCTGTCCCAACAGAGTTTGCTCCATGGCAACTGAGTATACACATGTTGAGAACTCCCAAATTGTCTCCGGCTACTGCTGCCATTGCTTTAAGACCAACATCTGGGGTGGGTAGAACATGCAGCAGTGGTGGCAGCAGATCAGATGGAGATTATTAAGAAATTCCCAGCCTGGGTAAATCTTCTTAGAGAAGGGGGACGGGGAGGCGGTTGGATTAGATACCTTCCTGAAGTCCCTTCCAAGCCTAATTTTCTATAATTCTACCCGCCTTGCTTTTGGAACCACACCCTACTCTCCCACAGTGTTTGCCACGGCTTGTTATACCATTGCATGCTGGGAACTCTTAAATAGTCCCAAGCTGAGCTGTTGCTGTGTATTCTGCCTGGCCCAGCTGTTTTCCTTAAAGCAGCAGCAGCAGCCACCACCGCTGCTGCCTGGCATTACCCAGTGAGCACCAGGGCTTTTCTTGCCATTTTTTTTTCTTAAAGGGGTAGAGCTGGGCCAGGCAGGGGGCACGCATGGAGGGGCTGTGGTTGGAGGGCTTGTGCAGAGTCCCTCATGCAGTATGGGGCAGTGGGGGGCAGTGCTGATCACCCCTGCTGCCCGGCATTACCCAGTGAGCACCAGGGCTTTTTTTAAAAGTAAGGAGCTGAAGCAGCCATTTAGAGGCTGGGGGAGCAACGGGGGTCAGGGGAGTTGGCAGGGGCCCCCCAAAGGTCCCCTCCCCCAGTCCCTCTCCCCCGCCCCTAGTACTTACCAGTTCAGAGTCAGCTGCAGCTCCCTGCTGCAGCCACTGGGGACTGCCCGAATCGTCAAAGCTCTCCAAATCTTTTCCAAAGATTTGGAGAGCTTTGACTCGATTCAGACCTTTAAATTGGTCTCCTGATTCAATTCGGATTCGGAATTTCAGCCACCGAATTGGGCCAAATGTCCTTCGAATCAAATCACCACCTGAAGCTTTGCACACCCATATTGCCAAGTGTTCTTGTTGAGGACTAATAGTTCTATTTAATCACTTTGTCAATTATTATTTTTTAATACATTTAGAGTTACAATTTATGATGCAATAAACATCTGGCAAAATAAGGGAACCAAATACATTTTAAAAAAATTATAAATAAATTTCAGTTTCTTATTTGTTATATTAGATCTTGATCTATTCATTATATTAGATCATTTGTGCTATTCTTTGCAAAAGTGGAATCATAGTTACAATCTGTAATACAGGAACTCTTTGCATGACTGCTATATTTGAGACATAGAAATGTAAACACAACTCCCAATTCTTGTTTCACGTATAAGCTTACTTTACAGCATCTGCAAGAAATGAACAATGTTTGGCCTTGGTTAGAGTTTAATGACTTGACTATCATATCAATTGATAAGTTTCTGTTTATGTACTTTTTGTAGGAGCTAAACCTAAAAGTAAAAAACAAACAAACCCACACAAATGAACAATGGGGACTAAGAAACATAATTTGCTAGGTTCTAATATAACAAGTGTATCTCTATAAAAATAATTGGTTTAATTTATATGTTTCAAAAAACTTTTTGGTACTGTGCATAGGTCCTTCAAGCTAAAGTAAATAGCTGTCAGCCAAAGACATGTTCTCTGGAAGAACCAAATTGTGTTTTAAAATTTTTCAAAAACTATTTTGTTTCATTGTAATAAAGTCATTCTCATGCACCCAAGAACAATAATTATGTAAAGAAAAGAATGTTTTCTTACACATTTTTCACACCTCTTTTTTCAGATTTGTTTTCTAGTTATAACTACTGAAGAAAGGAAGCAAAACAGACAGACAAGATGAGTAATTAGAAAGTGCTTGCTTTCAAAATCCATTGCTTTCAATTGACTTAAACATGTAGTGAAATGCTTTGAAGATTTTAGGTCTATGATAGCAGATGGATGGAAAAGTGAATTTGTAATTTCATATTATTATTTGCTGCCTGGCCCCACTTTTCCTTATCTCATTTCTCCCCTCATAGAGCTTGATTATATATCCTACACTTCATTTCCTTTCTTCTAAAAGATCACCTCTTTTTTTGTTTAAAAATCATTCTTCTAAGATACTGAAATTATGCATTAGTTATTACAAGTATGCATTGATAAAAAGTTAGACAACCTTTCTTTAAGATTCAGGACAGTGTTTTCCTGAATTTGGGAGCTGGGCTGCACCCAGCCTCTAGAAGAACTACCCAGTCTTGTCTTGAGGCTGTATCACTTAACCTACCCTTGTCATTTCAGCTTTACTCATACTGACTATGAGCCATCAGAATTCACTCAGCTTTCTTGCTGTTCTCTGATACTTTCGCAAAGAGCTTCTCACTCTCTCTATCAAGAAGCCCTTTCTGGACCACTGCCTCTGGATTCTCCCAAGGCCAATTTGCTTTGGAGCTACCTTTTCACAAAGCCTTAAGCAAAGATTTTATCACTAAGGATATACTCTGTGCTACCATGCAGGAACCAGTCTCTTTCTCTCTCTCATTTCAGACACACTACATTCCAATTCAGATTTAATGTAAAGTTCTGGTATGCCCAGAATGTCACTTGGAAGACTTCTGAGTACAAAGTATATGTAAATATAAATCTATGTGTAGCTATACTTTGCCCTTTGCAGCAATATAACGCTGACTATTCAACAAACAATATGCCAGGAACTCCAAAACAGTTGCTGCTGCTGCCACCACCTCCTGCTGCTGCTTTAAGGGAAGTGCCCTCCATGTGGTGTGGGGCAGTAGGGATCATCCCCTGATGGCAGAAGCAGTGAGTCTAGGATTTTTTTTCTTTTTTTTTTCCTTAAAGGGCCAGAGCTGGCCCAAACAGGGAACCCATGGGGGGGCTCAGGGAGCAAGGGAGGGTTGGGGGGGCTCATGGAGCCCCCTACGCAGTGTGGGGCAGTGGGGGGGTAGCAGGGATTCCCCCCCCCAGCAGCACCCAGTGAGCACCAGGGCTTTTTTTTTTAACAAGTGCCGGGAGCTGGGGCAGCCATTGCTGGGCTCGGAAAGGGGCAGGGGATGGGCCTGGCAGATTCGGTGATTTGGCAGCAGCCAAATCTCTGAATCAGATTTGGCTGAATCAAATCAGGATAGTGATTCAAATCAACAAATTGAATCACTGTCCCCCGAATTGGCCGAATCTGAAGCGAACACAAGCCTACTTGACAAGCATTTTTAACTTGCTTGTAAATTTGACCATGTTCAGTCTACAACCTTCTCAAGGCTTAGAAGCTGATCTTTTTTGTCCTTTGCTGATGGAATGACATGTAGTTAAGAAACCAAGAATATTAGATTGCGAAAGCAATTAGAGAAAAATATCACAGGTGGCAGAGAAAGACCATAGTTTCTGTGCATAGCATTTTTTTCAAGTCAAATCTGCCCAACCTGTTCCAGCCTTAGTGCTATTCTACAATGAGATCTTCTACTGAAGGACTGTGCACATGTGTATAATCCCACATATTTTTTTAGGCGTGGGTGAGATGTAACACCATTTCAACCCCAGTTACTAAGAATGGGGCCAGGCAGCTAATTCAGTAATGACTGCAGGACATTGCAGAGTGCAGCTTATGGGGAGACCCAACAATCATGTAATGAAGCTTGCAAATGGGATCATAGAAAAACACAGCACTTAGTTCTTAAAGGCAGAACTGCAGAGTTGTAAGCCTGGTAGTAAAGTTCAGGTTGCAAGGGTAAACCACAGCTGCAGAGAGGAAAACCTGGGGATTGAGGATTAGCAGCACCTGGGTTCTGTTGCAAGGGGAGGGAGGTCAGGTGACCAGAAGAATAGTCAGGGGGGTTGCAAACTTGGCTCCTAGGCTGGAAAGGTAATCTGACCCAGGCTATAGTAGTAGGAGTTTATGTAGAGAGTAAATCTCAGTTAGAGTTCAATTGATATGTTTTCATGTTTGTTTGTAATTGAGCTATAAGGCATAGAAGTGGCTGTAGGAGCAGAAGGAGGCTACTGCCGGACCCTATGCAAGCTACTGCCAGGCACAGAGAGATTGTGAAGTGGACCAAGGATCCTGGTGACAGAGAAACAGAGACCTTCTACAGGAAAGTCATCAAATGAGTGAGTACATTCTGATACATGGGCCTACATGTTGTCATGGAAGCAGTGTGTGAGGTTAGTTGGTTTGTCTGGGCAGCCAAACTTGGAAGAAGGCACCGAAGAGCAGTGTCCAACAGAGTAAAATACCTTACCGAAGTCTAAAAATAAAACATACAAGGACATTTGTTGTTTGGCAGCTTTCTTCTGCAAGAGGCATAGGTTAAATATCATGTTAGCAGTGCTGCATGATGAACAAAAACCATGCTGGGATTCGGGGAGTATATCATCTGCAGTAACCTGGAGCCTTTTCAGCAATGGTTTACTAAGGGCCTTGCCAGCAATGGAGAGGAGTGAAATGCCATGATAATTGTCACAGTCATGTCTGTCTCCTTTGTGCTTGTAGATTATTGTAATTTTTGGCATCTTTGAAATCCTGGCGTAAAGCCTTGTTTTCCCAGCAGAAAGTAAATAGGTCTAGCAAAGCTTTGTGATGTGTAGGATGACCATATTTAAGCACTTCAGCTGGGATTTCATCAGCTCCAGCTGCCTTTCCACTTCCCATTTCCATAAGTGTGTTCTTAGTCTCCTCCAAAGTTAGTGGATTTTTGAGTTCGTATCAAACTGATCCTTGCTCAATTGAATAGCTGTCAGTTGACCTCCTAGTTTTGATATAAAAAAGAATTGGTTCACAAGTAGCAGTTCATATAGATTTACATGCAAATACCTGGGTCTACAGGGAGGAAAATCCAGATTCACTCAAACAAATAACCTAGAAAGTTGCTGTTGGAAATGTACTCGTAACATCACAGAGACCACTGATTGTGAGAATTTCAAGCCACTGAAATTTAAAGCCAGTGTTTGTTTGAGTTGATATTATAGAGTCATAAGCATAGGGGACTTTCTCAGTTGAAATGAATCCCAAGGCTTAGGGTGGATATAAATGGTCCAGCCTCTTGGGGATGATACCATCAAGCTTAAAGGTTTGTGCTCCTTGCTGTTTTAAACATGAAGTCTTCACTGAGGACTCAAAGGTGGAAGATGCAAATAAAGCTTCTCTCTCAGACTCTTGAATTACTGTCACTGACTTCACGATTTCAGTTTCAGAGGAAAATATTGTTATATATTTATGAGGCATTGGAAAATCAGCTTGGAAGACAATTTTTCAGTTAATGGAAGTTCTATGCTATTGGTGTAATCCGTGATTGCTGTCCCCAAACCAAAGTATGTATAAAATATTTCTGCCTTTCAAGTCACTCAAAAAAATAAATAGTTAAAAAGGGCGGCATTATATCTATACTTGCAAGACTTAATGCTAGCATTATACCCAGCAAATAAGACCTTAGTGAAATTTGGCAAATTTGATGTTAGTAAAACTAATATTTTTTTGAGTGCCAAACATGAAATTATGTACAAAACAAATTGATGATATCCTGGTCTACAGAAAGCCATGTTGCTGATTAAGAACATAAAAGCTGCAATGGTTAATCAGACCACTGATTCACCCAGCCTAGTAGTCTGTCTTTGACACTAGCAGGAGTGATTGCTTTTGAAGGAGAGCATTGAATAGGGTATACCAAGACACATTTATTACCTGTCATACCCTCCCTTGTATCTACCATCACTAGTTTAGAGATGCATCTGTTCTGTTTAATTATTGGATCTAGTACCCAAGTCTTTTTTTGACCTGACTATATCATCTGCCTCTACAACCTCCTATAGTAATGAATTCCACAAATTAAACAAACACCCACACAGTGCATGGTTGTTTGGTTGGCTTTTTTATAAACCCCTCTCATATTTTAAACCTGCCTGCTCCTGCTAATTTGAATTTAATATGTGTAATATTCCAAGATTTGTTGAATAACAATTCCATAGTATTATATGTAAAAGCAAAGTTTGGATCTGAATGAAGGTATCATGCTCAAGAACAAAACTGCTTTTGGTTTTTGTTTGGATTTTTTGCAAGACTGGTCGAATTTTTTGGATATACTTCTTTAGGCATTTCCCTACCATTTTCAAAAAGAAAATCTGAATTCATAATCCTGAAGCCACAGTACATGGCCTGATAATAGTGAGAAGTACAAAAGACAGCTTTTAGGCTGTGCCCCTGTGTCAGGTGCTGCTGAAAGCTATGCAAGGCTGGCAACACTGGGACAGCTGCACAGGGACCCAGAGAGCTGGCACAGGATCCAGCTCCCCATTCTCCCCATCCAGGCCTGGCATCGCATGTGTTCACATGCTTGTGCCTTCCAACTGGGGCCCCAACTGAAGCCAGGGGGAGACTGGAGACCTTGTGGTGCTCTGGGGTAAGGTGGAGGTGCTGTGCCAGTGTGAGCAGGGTGGGCACTGCAACACCCACATTTATGAGGCCTTGTCAGGCAGGATGCAGGAGCGACAGCATGACTGGTCAGCATGGCAATGCTGCATAAAGTTCAAGGCTTTGTGGGTGCAATGGGTTGCTGTGACCAACCACAATTGTCAATCCAGCAATGCCTGCAAGACCATGTCCTTTATGGTAGCTGACCAATATTTTGGTGCCCTGGGACTCAGGCAGCAACTGTAAGGTTTATTCCAGCATGGGCAGCCTGCCTGAGTCTCTGCCCCGCTCTGGCACGCCCCCGTGACATCCCACTGGGAGGAGAAACCTGCAGGCATGCAGCAGCCCATCCCACCTAGCTCCCTGGCTGCAGCCTCCACCAGCAGCTCGGGGAGCCCTGGCTAATGCTTGCCTTGCCAGCTGTATAGCTCCAGGCCCCACCACAAAGAACGGCCAACCATGACACTTCCAGCTGCCAGCAGTGCCATCTTCTCCCCAGGGAGTGGCCCAGCCAGGCACCTGCATGCCACACCCTATGAGATAAGGACACCAGGTACAGCCACACACCTTTGCCAGCTGGCAGGACCTTGCTGAGATGCCAGCCATGACAGCATGGTAAACCCCACATTTGGTGGAGGGCCCTCTCCAGCCTAGTCCCTTCCCTTGGCCCTGCTCCCTGCCCCTGCCTGCCCTCCCTGCTGGCCTGCCCATAGTCCCCTGGCTCTGGGTTCTCCCCACCACATGCAGAGACACAGTGCAAAATCGAGGGGGCATGGACACCTCACACTTTGAGGAACACATTAATGCTGGTGGCTATGTCCTCCTCTGCAGCAGTGGGCAGGGATGTGTAGTGCTGCCATGGATAACCTTCCAGGAGGTGGCAGAGGTTGCAGGGAAGCCCAGGCTTTCCCCCTATGCCATCAAAACTCAGGGTCCCAAACTAGGAGAGCAGGTGTACCTGGGGCACCATGAGGATCAGCAGCAGCAGACTGTAGTGGGTTGGGCACACCTCAGCCTGCACAAACAGATCATCATGCACTGCCTGGGCCACATGCAGCAAGGGCACACTTGAGGGTGCAGCAGCAGCATGGAAAGGGGAGCTGGCCTTCAGGCCCCTCCACAGAGTACCCCCTGTGGGGAGGGTGGGGGCGTGGCTAGCTCCTTGTCCCACTTGTCTGGGAGCCCTGCATCCCCTGAGCCTGGGCACCATGGGCTGGGTGGCAGCACAACAGAGTGGCTGGCCTGCAGGGGGAGAAAGGGAGCAGGGTCTGGAGTCATGGAAGCAGGTACTACCAGGACCTGGCCTATCCTGCTTTTGGAATAGGGTGCAGGAGGCAACTGCCTGCCTGTGGCCACCACCCAGCAGACTGCCAGTTCCAGGAGAGCGTCTGGGTATGGGGGGCTCATTTGGTGGCCACCTGGGCTTGCCCAGCCCAACTTGCCATGGTCCCTGGGCACCCATGACTGACCCCTGATCTGAGGCTGGGCAGTGCCATAGCCCCTGGTGAAGAGCATCCTATCTCTGAAATGTTTCAAACTGCCACAAAAGGCTTCTTTCTCATGACTCTGCAGGTCCAACATCTGGATGTGAGGGACAGGCCACTGTGGCCAATGGGGATGTGAGCTCAGGGTTGCTGGTGCCCTTTAGATGCACCAGCTGAGCCAGAGGCACACCATAGACTGGACCCTCCTTCTCCAGCTGCTGTGATGGTGGAGGACCAGGAGAACATGGCCTGCCAGGAGAGGTGGTGGGTGGAGGACATTGCCTAGGAGGAGGTGCAAACCCAGGCCAACTCGGAGTTCCAGGGCAAGCTCCTTGCCCTGGAGCATGAGCAGATCCAGGTCCTATGGGAGCAGAACAGCATCCTGGGCTGGGCAGCGCAGGCCATGAATGATGACTGTTGGTTCATGGGTACTGTCCTGGGCCTGGCAGTCTCATTCATGCTCACTGCTGCCCAACCCCCACCTGAGACAGAACAACAAGCAGTGGGGACAGGACCACACACCAGCCCTGCTGGCCATGGACAGCCCCTGGCAGAGGAGGGCTACCTGTGCCAGAGGACCAGCAGCTGCCATCACCCAGGGTGAGCCCTCTGCCTGCTACACATGCTGGGGCATGCATACCCATGGAGAAATAGCCAGAGGCCAAGTACTCACTGCCTGCCTCCAGGCTCTGCCCCCTAAGCACCCCCACTCCATGGCCCCCTATCCACAACACCAAAAAACCCCACTTTGTAAATAGTTTTCACTGGGAAGAGGGTTTTTTTATTTTTGATGGGTGGGGTGGCTGGTGGAGGGGCTCTGTTATCTAGGGAGTCGGGAGGGGCCTGTGTTTTTTAGGGGAGCGAGGAAAGGGCTGTATTGAGGGGGGAGGGCCAAGAGGTCTGGGAGGGTGATATGATGAGAATAAAGACTTGTTGTTTTGATTATGTATCTTCAATGAGAGTGGTGCTTTGGGTGGGCCGGGGGTAGAGTCTCCGTAGGCTGCAGGGCAGGGGGACTAGAGTGGGGAGTGCTGAAGGAGGTGCTCAGCTAGATCCTCCCACACGTGGTGCCCTGGCTCATGCTGGAGGGTGCGAAATTCTCCTGGTGCTTCAGCAGGGGGGTACCACTGTTGATGTCACTGCTGCTGCTGGATGCTGGCAGCTGCAGCCAGACCCTGGAGCTCCCCCTGGTTGCTGCAGGGGCTCATTGTAGGGCTGCA